GGAGGAGGATAAGAAGTGGGAAAGGGGAGAGCGGAGAGGAGAAAGGGGATGCGAAAAGGGAAGGGAAGGGGGTAGGTTGGAGGGAAGCGGGGAGGGGGGGGGGATGGAGAAGTGGTATTGTATTGGTGGGTGAGGTATAAGACCGGTATTACGCCCTCATATTTAGTACTACTTGACTCTGTACTCACAACGTTGTCACTGCTGACTTTGATCGATTGTATTGCGGTAACGCATTGAGTTTGTTCTTTTGWAGCTTTCTATGAATTGAAATAAGTGTATAAAATTATCAACTGTGTCATAGAATCCATGTTGCTCTTATCTTAATTAGGAAATTCAAAATGTCCGTGTGCTCTAAATGTAAACCTAACATTATTGTCAACAATGAGACATGATAACAAGGCCACAATGGAAGGCTGATTATTCAATGCTGAAAAGGTAATACCAAAGTTTGCCGACTTACATGTGAGAGAGAACATTCAATCCATCAAATGAACCAGGTTGTATTGAGATAATTGCATTKCCGTCAAGATAGCTGTAGAAAGAAATCACACAAGTAAATAACAAATGTACTGGTCCGAATAGATCATCGTAGTCCAGGAGATCGAGTGGTCCCTTATAAATGTTTTAGCACCCATCAAGCTATATTGTACAACTTTGACAAAAAAAACAAAAAAAAAACAACAACAACAACAAACAAAAGCAAAAACAAAAACAGTAACTGAATAACAGTCTTGATATTTTTTTCGACTATTTTCTCGGCGGCTTGAATTGACCATAGTTCATTAGCCAATCAGAATGTTGGATTTGTAAAAATCCATAGTTTTGCAAATTAAAATTTATAATTTATTAGAATAATATATGTACGTCGTTTAGAATTTCGCTTAGCTTCAATGTCATACTTACAGTTTATTGAGGTGCTTCAGTCTTGAGAACATCGATGTTGTGATGTGTGTGAGAAAGTTTTCAGAAAGATCTCTGTTTATAGAAACAAATAGATGAATAAATCAACACTTGAAAAAAAATCTGTATGTTCAAATGAAAAAAAAAATTATAAAAATTATTGTAAATAGTATGCATTATATTATGTATATTATTAAATGATTTGCATCAGATTTACAGCAAATTTACATCATTTTTGGACACTCATAATATTTACATTTCAAAGTGTGCGTTTTTTTTCAAAGGCTACCCAAGGTTGTAGACTTATATTTCTGTTAAGTATGTTTTTGAACGCACTTATCCTTAAATTTTGCAACCTMTTTGTACTATTTTCCGTGCAATTAGTAAAAAGAGTTCATTCTTACAGAAGAAAGGTTATTCAATGAATGTTCCACTTTAGCTCAATTTTGTAGAAATTTGTGCTTKTTTGATTTTGTACAATTTCACAGATTAAATAGCGCGTTCCGCTCTAAAAATCTCAATATATATCATATACACAGGTATTTTATTTTTCAATAGCGATTTATATAATGGGTAGTATTCTTCAAGAGTTATTTCCTGAATTTTTCAAATCATTAAATGTGGTTATACATCGCGGTTTTGGCCCAATGTACACCATTATGCTTTGGGGGCCGCAAGGGGCAGGAGGCGGCCATTTTCAGTTACCGAAAGTCTATAAATTGTACTGTCTGTTTCGAATTTTAGACCATCTCACTTTTTCTAAGCACTTTAAACGCTAATATAAGAGTTTTCAACCATCTGAAATTCGTTTTATGGTGATATTTGGATACTAGAAGTATTTTGGTGTAAATCATAACAATAACAGAGGCGCGCAAAGCATAATGGTGCAAACTGGGCCTCTAAAAACAGAATTGTTTTTGCACTTACAGATCTCGTAGAGACGTTAGATTATCAAATGCACCAGATTCTATAGTCGACAATCTGTTCTTATTCAACCTCCTACATCATAAAAAACACTTAATTATTACCATTGCTCCTTGAAACCTTAAACGTAAGTTTTATTAGGGTATTGGGGACCAATTATTGCAATAAAGCCAAAATGTCTAACTCCGTAACAACAGATTAATTGATTGAGTGCTCTACTCACAGAGTTTCTAAGCCTTTTAACATAGAAAACATCGCTTGTGTGATCTTTTCAAGACGATTTCTTGATAGGATTCTAAACATTTTAAATAAAACTTTTTATTAGATAAATAACTTAGAATTAATGCCAGTAAAACAAATTGAAGTAAATTGCCTAAATGTTTAATGRACTAAGCTACTTACAAGCAGTGAGTTGTTTTGTTGTACTGAGTATTGTAGGGTGATGAACACTTTGGCGATGGGAACGTTGATATTTGTTTCTCTGTACAAATTCTGTCAAAAAAGTAAAATAACAGATTTTATTTTATTCTATGTTCACTTTTCCTAGTATCTCATTGGTCGATAGTGTACCACGTGAAAGTCACAAAATTYTACTGTTTCCCGGCAACTGTCCACCAGCGGTCAATAATATGTTGTGGACCGTCAATAGTACAAAGTCGCAGAAAAACACTCTTCAGTGTCGTGAAAATGTCACATTCACGGACGGTGAATTCCAAAATTGTTATGAAACATTTAATTTCGACTACAATGAATAGTTATTGTATTCATTGTGTTATTACATTGATTGATTTTAGTGACATTTGACTATTTGTATTGTCATTTTTCAGTCATTTTATCAAAATCTTTAATAAAAACACTTCATTTATTTACTTTTTTGCTCTMTTTGACACTTGATATGATAATAAAGCACTTATTTACTGGAAACCTCGGGAAACAGTATGTTTTGCGGTCCCTCGACCGCTGATGTTTCCCTCAGCTTCGCTCAGCGGTCTCTTAAATATCGTGTAATAATAAAGAAAATAGTGGGTAAGGGTTTATTCAAAACTACAAGAATTAATTCCTCGAAAAACCGGGTTGTCTAGAAAGTCTCTTGATGTATAAGTAGTACGGGGTATTGACTTCTAGCAAACACCGTTTTTAAACTTAAAATAAAAATTTCTTCAGAAATAAGGGATATTATCCATGCGAATTATTGGATATTAATAATGACAAAAGGTGCCTCTTGACTAATAATCTTCCTGAAATCATTATGTTTCGTGCTTTGCTTCCCGCTGGTAAGTCATTCTTCGTAATTCAACTGCACAACCAGGAAATGACTTTTATTGATTTTCATTTTCGTAAATCAGAAATTCATAGTCGTGAAGKAAAATCATTAGGTTAGTGGGCGGTAAAATCGTAATTTGAACACAGCGGGAATTTCAAACAATTTCCTCTGAATACGGTACAGTCTCTCTAGAATCTCTTCACTGCACGCCAATTGTACCCACAACCTGTACTTTTGTCTTCCAGCTGAAGTAAGTCAGCAGACCGCTGGCAATTTCCAATGAAGACTCTAGACTCTAGATTACTGTAAGCAGAGATGAAGCTAGATGTCTGCGCATGCTTTAGTAAGTCAGCGGTTCTGGGCGTGGCTCCATCCACTCAAAACCCTTAAAGAAAGCCACAATSTCGTCATATGTTTTTTCACTTGCATACAGAGAAACTGAATTTGTTTTGAGAATTTTAATTAAAAAAWWTTGTAGATATAGAGTGTAGTGTTTTCAAAACAGAGARCCGGGAACACTTGTCTGTATTAAGATTGTAAACACTTTAAACCCACTGCGTGGGCTTAAGACAGGGGATTCTTATGACTTGATCTGGTATAATACTTAGCATTTGCCAATCGCTATCTTTATTATGATTATCTTTTAGATTTTCGAGGATATTACGATTGTCATTATCATTAGTTTTGTCGTTTTGACTAATAAAAGGACATTTATGTACTTACATAGACTAATCTACTTTAATTAATGGCCTTCTTGTTTTTAATATTTGACATCATCGCCATTGTCATCCATCGACACTATTACGTATAGTTTAAAACCTCCTTGCCCAATGGCCTAGGAAATGCGTGGCCGTGTTTTCTCTCCCCCTTTTCAACATGACGTCCCAAGGAATTAGACATTTTTAGCTTATAGTTAATATTGTACAATATAGATTACTATTTAAAACAATGGCATATTCTACCAGCTGTATAATCAAGCTTAAATACGATAGCCTGGAATTGATCCYTTTGATCTCCACATTGCGCAATATTTTGATCTCTTCCAAAAAAGGTGATACCTTTTTTCAATATTGATCCTAAAATATGACTCCTGATTCCCTATACTAAATGACAGTCGTACTTCTTGTTTATGAAATTCGCAGTGATCTTGAAATGATTTTTTTTTTGTTCCCTTTGATGGCGTCAAGGAGAACGCTACGAAAACATAGGCGGTGTAGACGTTGTTGCTTCCGATAGTCTATCACTAGTGAGAAAACCCGCCTTGTATTGCAAAGGTCGTGCAGAGTATGGTCGAGTATTCACTGTCTAATTAGAAACAAAAGGCAATAATCAATCGATCTATTCAGACTGCAACTAATATAAAAAATCCCTAGATGACATTGATATTGTTTTAGCTGTATTTAATGCCAGCTGCCCTGACAAGAAAAAAAAGTTCACAATAACCACGCTTTGATTAAAATCAATCGTCAAAATAAACCCTTAAAAATAAAAAATAAAAAATTCTCATGAAAATCGTACTGATGATGTAATTCAGAGAGCAATGAATTGAGAAATAGTATATTAGAGGAGAATGAAATGAAAAATCAAACCTTTGAACGAGCAAATACTAGAAATTAAAAAGAACAAAAATTCGAACCATGAATACAAAGAATATAGATAAGAACCAGAAAAAAAGAAGAGCCAAAATTTTAGTGATAATAACAGAAACTCTATTTTAATAAACGACAACAACAACAAGACGACAAAGAAGAAGACAAACAACATATGAAACAGCAACAACCGACACAATTGGAACAGCAGCAACAACAAAGACAAGAAAAACAAGAAACACATTTATATAAGAAGCATTATTCTTGCTATGAGACATACTGAATAGCAATAAGACTTGAAAGCTAATTAAAACGGCAAAAACAATAGCAACAGAAAAAAGAAGATTTATAGAAGGGAAAGAATGGAAAGCATATAAAGAGATTGAAGGAGAGAAAAGAAGAAAAAGGGAGAATTAATCATCTCGATTCATATTATATTCAGAACATGACGTGCAGATTTCTCGACAAAGAATAGATCGCTATAAGATTAAAAAGAAAATATAATAAAAATAATCCAACTACTAAATGATCAAGTACGCAAACAGAAATCTCGAGAGGAGATAACAGTAACCAGAGCACACAAATAGTTTCTACAGATTACTAGTCATATTAAATAAATCAAAATTAACTGATTTTACTGCCTATAGCTTACACTAGCTATACATAGCTAAATTAGTTGAGAACAAATCGCATGCATTACAGATTTAAAACTAACGTACATTAAACGAGCAATTATCTACGAAACGGAAAATAAAAATAATACTCTAAACTTATGATGGGTTGAACGTTAAGTGCTCATTTATCTCGAGTTCTTTTTTTCGTTCACCGTTTTACGAAGTATTATACTCTAAATAGCCTGCCCCCATTTACAGATCAGCGAGGTATATTGAAGTAAGTCTGCCCAGTTAAAATTAATGAACGAGTCAATCAATCAAATACTTAAATTAATCAATAAATAGATAAGTCGTTGAATAAATACATGGATAGATTTATGGATGAATCATTCAAACTGTCAATAAACCAATAATTAAATAAATATATGAAAAAATGAAGTGAATGGAAGAACGAATGAATGAAAACCGCAGACTCCCCAGGGTACGATGATAAGATCATGATATACGACAGCCACATCTTATTGTATGGACCGGTGCATATCATAAYCATTTATAAAAGATAATGCATTCATATATGTTATTTACCTTGTTTTAAAATGTTCATTTATGTAAAATAGTACACGTTTACAAGGTAGAGACGATTTTCACAAGCATTATCATATAAAAGTATAATAAAACCGTTCTCAGCTGCGTCGTGTTTGAAGTATTCGCTCAATACGCACAGATTTTACTCGCAAAACTATCATGAAATAGTCAGTTAATGTCATATCATAATGTCATATCATCTGAATTCTAAATATACTTACAGTGACATCTTTGGTTTTCCACAGTCAAATCCCAAGCAGAAATTGCTGTKATACAACTGAATCCCACATAGAATCAACGTGAAATAACTTCTGGTAAATCCCAAAGCCATTGCAGAGTTTCACATCAAAGAACTCTAAAACAAGACAATTACGATGTTACTGTTAATTGAATCCAGAGCGCTTTTTCTTGTCCTTCTTGCTCGTTTACCTGCGCGYTGAACAATGACAAAAATAAAGATTTTATGGTCGTTGTCAAAATTCTAATTTGGTTTCTAATATACATATGCATTCATGCCAAAACAAATAAAAACTCTGYAGGGAGGTGCGACACGCATGACAGTAAGAAGCCTTATTGGCAAATACTCAATTACACCTGACTGATCTGATATTATTCGCTTACCTCTTTTAATTGTTGAATATCAAACACTTTAGAATACTGGCTTACGAAGAATACCAAAATGACAGGATAACACAGCTGAAAAAAAAAAGAAATAGATTTTGAATTCTGTCAAACCGGCTCGCCTAACAAAGAGTCATTACGATGTAAGACAGTCTTCAAAGAGCGTTAATTGCCTACACGACTTTATCTAAAGTACAAACAAATAAAAATACATAAAAGAAAAAGATTAGCGTTCTATTTTGGCTATTAAAAGRGAGATTATAGAAATGAAATCCATTGAAGAGCATTAACAAAACCCATCACAATACTGGAATCTGTTCAYAAAAGCACCGATGATTTCTTCACAAAAAAAACGTGTTTACTTAGGACTTGCTTTTTCAAGATTGAGAATGCGTTTCAAGTGGGACTGTAGTAGTCCTCTTTCAGCTTACTTTCCGCTTGACGGAATTATACAGCAACTACAAAAAAGCTGTTATTGGAACAACTGCATGTGGGCCATGTATGAATAATAGTGACAAATAATAATTACCTAAAAGGTATAGAGATAAAAACATAAATAAAATAAAGTCGTGCGAAGATTCATCATTGCGACTCATAAAAAATGTTCTTTAGAAGTGAATACTGATTAAGATCAATTGAAAAAAGGAGAATGCGTGAATAGACAATTTACGTCTACTTGAACTAAGTAAAGCACCGACGTCCGAAACGTCTTTAAGTTTTCTAGTTTTTACGGAGTATGATTTATCACTTTATCATAACTACTCTCATAAGAAAACGCCGACTCACCTCGCATTACAGTTTAATCCTATGGCGGGATGAAAAATAAATAATTCGTAGAAAGATCCCAACCCTATAGTCTTAGACACCTACACAGCCGTTGTGTGGCGAAGTATAACATGCTGCCACGGCACCAAAAAAATAAAAAATAAATAAAATAAATAAAATAAATAAATAAATAAATAAAAAAATAAAAAAAAAGTTTACACTTTTTTAAAGCATGACTTTTACACCCTTTTTAGATTCAATGGGTTTTGGATGTACAAAAACACAGGCAAGCCATTACGCGTGCGTGCCCAACTTTAAATGTATCCGTTAATTTTATATGTATATTTATTTTCTATATTTTACTTCACACATTTACACCGTTACCAGCAGGGTGAGAATATGAAAATGTTGTCGTTAAAAAATACCGATAAACATGCAGGTAGACWCCTTCCKTCATAATRCCTATTTCACTCAACTACACCAACAACTCCATATCAAATGTCGCAATATTGACCAAGCAATATATGGGTTATCGCATATCATTCTGCTTTCTATAACTCTCTAACGATTGCTAAATATTTCATGTCTTGACATCAACGTCCAATAATTTTTAATGTTGGGCTCTGACGTCACGCTACGTCCATCGCCGAAATGTTTTGTTTCTATACACAGACCTTATCATTTATCTTTGCATAATTTGTAAATAATACAAGGAGATGTCTTGTGCTCCTGTATATTTCATGATTATATAACATTCTATAACATTTGTATTGTCGAGAATCGTTCGTTATTGATGTACATATGACGTCATTCAATCTTACTCGCGCTCTTATTGGTTAGTATCAGTGCGCGTGCTATTCTGTCTTTTCGTTCCGAATTTGTTTCTTCTAGTTCAACAACAAATATCATTATATCAGAACTTTATACAAATACTGAATCAATATTCAAAATATAACGGTGAATTAACCGTGCGGCACCTTCGCTTTATTTCTCATGATATTAGCAGTATTGGACTGAGGTAGAGAATTATCCTACCTGGAAAACATCTCTCAACACGGGGAGAAGCCAATCTTAGAAATCACATAAGAATAGCTGGTCCTGTAAACTGTACTAACCGGGACCACAGCGGAGATACGCAGTAACCGTGCTATAAGGCGACCTTAGTGACACACAGGACCTACATTGAAGTGGAACWTTTGCCTAATTGYAGACCATTGAGTCAGTCGGATATATTCTGCGCATGAGCAATTTGGTAACTACTGCAGGTGTAGTTGCAAAGAGATCTTGCTCATCTTCCTTTTGTTAATAATCKTCTTGTTTGTTGATAGCTATTTTCGTTAAATTTTTACATTATTCCTAATCTTCTTCCTCTGTAAAGATGCTTAACAACCGCAAAAACACCTCTCCTCCCWTTCCTTTGTATTCTAATTTGCGGCCAATTGTTTTCTTTTCTATGGTTTTTTCCTTTCACTCCTATTTATTATGTTTTTTTTCTTTCCGTTTACGCCGTTCAACGTGTTTTGCTAAATATGCCGGATYTATAATAAATGAAGGCCCTAAAAGGGGTAATATTTGAACCCAGACTTTTAAATCCTCAGTTCATTTTCTCTTGTTAAATGTTCAAAAATCCAGCAAATAGTTTCATTATATTCATTTATATGTTATCTCAGAACAGAAACACCGACAYTGCCCACAAAACAATTAGATTAACCCACTTTTTTCGCTTTCGTCGCCGGCTGTCTTTTTCTGTTATGTTTCCCTTAATCTCAGATATCAGAATTCTGATAAATCATTCCGCAAATCAGCTCAACAACAAACCAGACTGGTAAAACTGGCTGAAATTTCCTTCGCTGACATCTCAAGCATAATGGCAGACTTGCTTCGTAAAATTACATTAAGAAAACGGTTTGTCTAAAAGCCCAGGTGTGTGTTTTTTTTGCTGATGGTGGAAAGTGTTAGACAAGAATATTCAAATAGTGCTTCTTAAATTGGCAAATATGACTTCATTTTTTTKAAGAGGATATTGAACGAGGCGAAATACTTATAAGTGTAAAATCGGCGGTAAACTTGCAGCACCGCATATTCAAGAATTCAGCGAAAATGTCAATAGAATTAATGATTACCCACAGAAAATGGAACATCCGCTCGATATATATCAATAACATGCATTGTTAACGAAAAGGCTGTCCGTTCTTATCACCATTCTATATACTGTATATATGCGCGCTGTGTTTCAAAACTATAAAGTAGAAATTTGCTTCTGTTATTATTGTTATTTATCGTCGACAGAAAAAAAATATTTCTAAGTAGACCTAAGTAAGTTTACATCGAAAAAGAAGATATGTTAATTTGAAAAAATAGGAAATTAGATGAATGAAGCGAACAACCTGTCGCGTTTGATGTAAAAAAAAAAGAAAAGAGACTTAAGCAATTAGAGAAAGAAAAGAAAAGAACTGAGATACTCAGTCAAATGAAATGCGAAAAAAAATGGATGAAAAGTAAGTGAAAAAGAAAAAAGAATTCATAAAACAATAGTATGGTAATTAAAGGAAATATTCTATCGCTTTTGTTTAATCTTGTTCAGTATTTGTCTTTTAGTCAGTCTGAAGCGCAATTTGTCAACTCGTTGAAACTAGATTGACCATAAAAACAGTCAAACATAATATATTGGCCTCTTTTATTAGGTCAGGAGAATGGCCACTGATATTATATATAATATCAATACACAATATCCACGCAGCTGTTCGCACAGAACAAACTTTTTTAACCAAGCTTGGCTTTAGGTTGACAATTGACATTGAATATAGAGCGCGGTGGGGGTGAAATATTGGGAAGGTGAAGTTATCTAGTTTAAACCTGGGAATGGGAATGGAATTTACTGAAAGAAAGTGAAAGTGGAATTCAGGTTGCATGCAGCAAAACTTATTGCGTAAGATGATGATGATATTTGATTTTGCTGAGGAACTGCGATTAGAGCCCCGGCTCTCAAACGAAGGAGTTAGATTTGTGACAAGTCATTGACAAATGTAGGAGCTACTGAAGCACATGACACTCAATTTCTTAGAAATGTACGCATTACGTGCGGTTTTGCCAAGCAGGATGTATTGAAGGCATTCAGAGAACCAATTGAAACGGTCGCAGGTGAACTCGCTTCAGCCCGCGAACATTAATCAAATAGAATATTCCCCCCCGAAAGTAATAAAAAGATAATGCGTTTATAGAGCTCACTAATCTGAATAGCTACTCGTTGAAAGAATGGATTTATTTTATATTTGATAATGATGTCCTATTGTTTATTTTGAAAATATCTATAAAGATGATGGTGACATGATGTCGCTTATGGCGCAGGAATGTACAATGTATTATTGTTATCGACACCGTGTTTGCCAAAAAAATGCTGAAAAAGTCGTAAAGGGCATCGTACTTATATTATTATAAATGGCAAGCACGTATCTAATTAATATATCTGCTAAATTATTCAACAAATTCTACTTTTAAGATATGGCTTATTCACTTTTTAATAACAATTACCCAAAATGCATCTGAATTTTGTGTATGACACTGTGAAAATTTTCATAATTTTTGCAAAACGCTGTTATCGTACGCTTTGTACTCAGTTATATTATCTAAACAACCGTTACATTGTACGTTGTTGTTGTCTTTTGTATTAACAATAACAGAACGATACCATAATTTATTATTGTTATTGTACATTTATCAATTCAAATTAGTGCAGACACTGTGGGATTATCAAATACTAGCCAAGGTGTATTAGAAAAAACAGAACAGTACTCAGACGCAGAATCCTACGGTATGTTTATTAATATAAACGGAATACGCTCAATAACAAAAAGCGGAAGAAGAAACCAGCAAGAAAAACAACCACAATGAAGAGAATAAAAGACCCAAAAAAAGAGATTTAAAGATATTAAAACGAAAAAAAAACATTATTTTTCTTCGCTTATGAAAAATGCCAGCTATAGACAAGACAGACAGTAGTTCTACTCAAGTTGATTGTTATCCGCATTCACCCTAAACGAATCGACTCGAATCGAGAAGAAATGTCTGTTGAGTTCTCACGCATCTTTTGTGCAAACGCTTGAAAAAACCTCTCATAATTCTTATCAATGAAGCCGATTTCTATCGTGAAGCAATAAGCAATTGCTTGCAAGAGAGCATTAACCGCACAAATCTTGAAATTCGCCTTTTTCGTCTTGGAAGTCAAGATGGGGCTTTTCAATATGAACGATTCAGCTATTGCGTCAAATATACAACTGTTTTATTCTGTCTGATAGAGGGTACAGGAAGATTGTATCGATTTTTCAATCGACATTTGTATTTGCCAAGCTTGAGACCCCGCGGCGGATATACGCTTTGCATTTGCCACTATTTACATACACTTTAGTTCAAATATAAGAAGGCTGAGAATTTTCGATCCTTGATTGTAAGATCGGAAAGGAGCTTATGAAAGCTTCTCTAAGGCTAGAAAGTTCCGAATTGTGTAGATAAGGAGTAAAAAAAAGCTCTGCCAAAGGCAAAGCAATGAGCTATTCAGCGTTGTAATTGAAGCAATTTCTCGGAATATTTTGGGGTTTTTTGCTAGTGTTATCGTAAGTGGACACTCGAAATTCTTTTTCATGGTTTTGAATGAATAAGCATGATGTTGTTGTTGTAAGTAAAATGTCAAGAATCATAGTTGAAATCTGATTAAAACTGAAATTCGAAAAATTATACAATAGCTCAGCTTGGCGAAAAGAAAAACGCATTTAGACAAAAGTGGAAAAAAAAAGGAAAAGATCAAAAATAAAAACAAACCGCGTAATAATAACATRAAAATATTGATATAAAAGTGAGCTATAGTTTATTAACTATGTTTAGCAAGCCCTGACTAGAAACATCTAGAGGATTGTACTTACGTTATCAATGTAGTTGAAAGCAAACGGTCTTGCTGGCTGTACGTCCTCCTCGYAAATATGGTCGCTTTTTTTAATACTGCAACATCAAATAACTACATCAGCATCACAGCAATATTACAGMCTCTCAACAAACGATTGGTCCATTGGTTTCGTTCTATTTGAATTTCCAAAAGGCTGCTTAATTAACACACGTAGAAAATTGACAGCTGATCAAAACAATTCGTTGCTCTATTTTCCCTCAAAATTGCAACATACGTGTTAAGCAAATCAATTCTTTGCTTTGATTGTGAACTTCAAACAGAACGCTTTCATGCATTTGCGCATCCTGGTDAAATTAAGTGTATCTAGTCAAGAAAAGAAAACACTAAAGTTTACAAAGGGACAAAATTTTGACGACAAGAAGGATTTTTTCAGGGTGACTTGTGGCTGGGTCTTCCACTGATTATTTGTTTGAACAGAGGATATCCAATGATGGGAGGAGTTCAATATTATTGACATGATAACATCACTCTGATGTTTGTTTAGTCCAAGGCAATGTCTTGTTAAATTTTATAGTTTTTCATTAAAAGGGAAAACTGTTGTCTCAGTTTCATGACKTCATATTCTGGTAAATTTGATTTCTCTGTACATAATTGCAGTGATCGTTTTAAGCCATTTGATTTATAGTTTCAATAATTRTACTTAATGATGTTTTCGGAGAATTTCATTCAAGAATACTTAAAAAGTTGTCCTGCTTAAGGTGTAATGATTACTACCTAACTATCTACGTTTYCTTAGAAACGTACACGTATATAAAACCATTTCTTTTTTATTAAACCTTTCGCTAGGACAATATTCGGATTAATTATAACAGTCAAAGCTTGATCTAATGGTTATTTCATCARAAAGCGTGTACCTTTTCACTTGATAACCAGAGAATGGCAGAGCAGGTGTCGAACAACATGAACACTCAATACACTCCGTCATGCAATACAAAATCATGCAAGATAAGGAACCTCTAGCTTATGGAATAAGACCAGGACAAGAATTAAGTCATAAGATTTATAAAAGTATACGAACTAATGATTACRCATTATACATATGTGCTTTAAGTCATGCCGTTTAAGTGAGCTACGCTGGCGGACAMCATATTGTGACATACTATCTAAAACAGTTCTTTACATGGACTAGCGTTTATGCAAAACTGTTGAAACCATACATTATTGATGTRCAGAAACTGACTTAGTTTTTCACTCAACGCGTTTAATCGACAATTATMGAAAAGACAGTAAAAAATCATGAAAAATAGCACTTGGAGACATTACTGATAGATATCGATATGTCGATATTACCTCGTACCTTATAGCAGGAGCCAAACTTTCATGTGATGAAAAGACTTAAAATAAACTGTTATGCGAAGCGAACGTTTAGCGAACTCTTCCGGAAACTATAACGAGTAGAAGAATAAATGCATTTTTTCGAGAAAGCCGACTTTTTGTTCAGAGAAAATTCCAGTTTACATAAAATGAGATCAATTTAGTCTAAGTTGATCYAGGTGTTTTGTGAAAAAACAATAATTCTAAAATATCTTATGTAATTTGRCATTTCTGGTCTGTTATAAGTTATTGGTCACAAAAAGGAGTGATATGATTTAAGGTGGCTTTGTTTTGCATCGGCTTTATATACTAATATCAAAATTTCCTCCGTCAAAATAAATAGCTMCCAGTGTCATTACAATGTACTAAAAAGGCATTACTTCTTTAKTTAAAAGTCATTCCTAATCAAAGATCATCAAGATCATTAGTGTTGTAACTATTGAATCGATGCACGGGTTTGATATTCCCGCCTGGGTTTTT